ATCCTTATGACTGCTTGGTTAGGAGTACAGCTGAAATTCTGTGCCTGTTTACCAAGAAGTAAGCTCCACAGAATATAGTAAGATTTACTTTAGGGTAAAAACACATAAATTTGTGCTGTACAACTTGTTTCAACAAGATGCTTGACTGCTTTGCTTCTTAAGCCATGAATGTAAAAGGAGTTCAGTAGTTTTGAATGGATTTAATTGATGTGAATGACATGATGCTTATAGATTTGGAAACTCAAAATTGCAGGGAACATTCTTGCCATGATGTGATAGTTGTGTTTTCAGAAAATTAATCTGAAAGAATATAATGCCTGGGGTGATTTCTGCATATGTCTTCTTCTACCAAATACAGTGTCATGGAATAATATGAATCTCTGTTTTCATTTTTATATTTCCTCTGTAGAACATTTAATGTTAAAAAAAATACTCTGATCCCCAACATTTAGGCTGACAAATGTAACTATGCATCTATGATGCTTATATATATTTTACCATGGTAATGGCACAAAGTCATGTCATTACGTTGGTGTCACAGCTGGCACATCCTAGCCCATCCACTTAGGTGTGGTCCAAGGAAGCCTTCAACAATTTCCCCATTTATCCTCTATGTGAAAATTCCCTCAGAACTGAGTAGGGTTGCCAGGTCCACCCTGGCCACGGGCAGGGGGGAGGGTTGTCAGATTCAGGTTGGGAAATGTCTACGTTTCAGAGACCCATTTGTTTAAAAAAAATTATTGGAACCACTATCACAGCAATGTAGGAGATACAGTGGTAGAATTCTGTTTTTTCTGTTTGTGTTTGTCGTATTCTGTCTAGTGGGCAAAGAAGATTTTGCATGGGTTTCTACAGAAGTTCTCTTTGTCTGACAAAAGGAGCTTTGACTCTCAAAAGCTTATACCCTGAAAATCTTGTTGGTTTTTAAGGTTTCTGGACTCAAATGTATTCTACTGCAGACCAACACGGCTAGCCTCTCAAACTACAGGAATTCCCTGTGCTTCAGGTTCAGTGCTCTGGTTTGTACAAAAATGACTGGAAGAATGGTCTATGGAAAATGCAAAGTCCTTTTCCTTTCTGAGACAAACCTTGTCTCACTTTGACAAGCCAAGTGCAAACACTGCTAACACTGGACTGTTCCCCAAGATATGAGGAGTGGCTGCCAGGGTTAGGGATGCCAACCTTCAGGCGGGACCTGGGGATCCCCTGGGATTATAGCTCATCTCCAGACTACAAAGATCAGTTCCCTGGAAAACTGGAATATTTGGCATTGTGCCCCACTGAGTTCCCTGTCTTCCCCAGGCTCCACTTCCAAAACTCCAGGAGTTTCCTGACCTGGAGCTGGAAACTCTATACCTGCTGGTCGACAGGGGGACCTGGCAACCCCAGGGTACCAGTTTAGACTGTTTCAGATGTGATGATTCCATGCTGAATGTTTAGTCAGTTCTTCACTAAGCTGACAATAATAGTTAACACATCTAGAAAGTGGGCAAAGCAAAGTTACATAGGCTACAGCAGAACATATAGCTTGTATAATGTTCTTGTGTATCTTCCTCCTTCAAAGGCATGTATGCTAGCTACTTTAACAGCCGAATACAGAAGGGACTATGCATTCAAGCAGATTGGGTGGGTTTGTTATGTTTGAATTCTGAAGCACCCTGTATAAATGATATTTTGGGATCAGGTATGATAAAAACAATGGATTTCATCTGCTAATGGAGCTGTTCTTCACAGTGTTTCTTGATAAAAAGAGAGCCTGTCAACAAACAGGGGGGATAGGAACAACAGTGTTATTTTATTAGCATTTTTAGATGACCAGATGCAAGAAAAAAAATGACATGCAAGTCACACCTGAAGAAATGGAGCACTTTAAAAAGAAAGCTGTGCTGTATACTGTGGGGTTCATGTTTTTCAGGCAGCCCCACTGCCCCAGTGTGTCTATGGTAACAGAGTGCCATGTCAGAAATTTATAGGTAAGCATTTACCATAGACTCCTATGGGAATGTATTGTGGAGTTAGATATGCCTATTGCAATTAGGCAAAGACATTTACCTAAGTCTTGGGTTCACATAGAATCCTGAATGAAAAGCCTGTTAAACCAAGGCTTCCAAAAAGCTTCCTGTCAGAATCTGAGCAATATTCAAGCATGTGTTACTTTGGACATTTTCCAGGGAATAAAAAATACATAATATATATAGCAGGTAAGAAGAGGAATAAGTAGGTGATTTAGGACTGTGGACAAATGTGGATGTGAAGCAAAAGCTCTCATGAGAAGAAATCTAAAGTTTCTTGAGAAAACTAGCAGGGAATTTCAGATGCAAGCAAGAAGGGCTATCTTAAATATTCTGTTACCTGGATTACAAAAAAGAATCCAGTATTGCTTTTCAACCGTTATGATCTTCCACAAACTTTTACTTCTGTTTGGCCAAGCTGTGAATTCACTGTCAATGAGAGTAGTGGAGAACCAAAGGGCTAAAGGGGCTGAAAGTGAAGCTCTGAATCAGTGTGTGGGGAAGTGGGGAGGGTAAACTGTTTCTCTATCTAGCCCCTAAAGTATGTCTCTCATAGTTGAGGTCAGACTAATTTTACTTTACAGACTTTTACAAAAAGGTAAGATTGACAGAGTCCTGTGACACCTTAAAGACTAATGCATAAGCATACAGCTTGTCATAAGCAAAGATAATCAGACACTAAGAAAAGCAGGATAAACTACTCCAATTGGAACCTGTAGTCAAGTTAATATCGAAGCCAATGAATAGTACTTAAAATGCCTACACAGAACGTAGCAGAAAGGCTAGTTTAAACATGCTTCAGAGGGCCAATATTATTTGTTCAGTCAGGAGTGCTACTCAGCAACAAGCAGATATCATGTATCCAAGGGCTTTTCTACTCAACCCCAACAAGCATTTGGGTGTAAGACCAAGCACAGCTCACTTTTCAAGACAGGTAAGGGAATTATTGTCTGCTGGATAGATCACTGCATTTTGAGTTGTGTGACATATAGCGTGATCCCATGCATATTCAATCAGAAGCGATTTTATATAAAGCATTGAGCTTTGTGGGACTTACTTCAACTGCAGTTCTTAGATTCACTTAGTATGAAGTATTACACTGATCACTGTAAAAAGAACTTGTTGATTAAACATTCTTTAGATGCAACTGAGGTGGCTCCAAACCTCATTTCCTTGCATAAGTTAAGTCTCACTTGCCAGTCCAAAAAAGAGAATATGAACCCTACAGTTTTTCAGGATGGTGAATGAGATACAAATGGTAAAGTATTTTTGCATGTGGGAGTGCTGCAAAACTTAATAATGTTTGTTCTATATGCTCCCCCCCCATTGGTATGATGTACACTTATTTTTGGTGTAGATCAATTCCACTGTATTTCCCCCCCTTTCCTCATTTGAACTCTGCCTGTTCACTCTTCTCCTATTAGTATTCTAGATAGGTATCATGGGTCAGTGCCAGTGTTTAACTCTGAAGGGTTCTTTTTTCCAGCAAATACTGCAGTAAACATTTCAAAGTGTGGAGGCTTCTGAAGTCCAGATGTTAATATGGCTGAAAAAAGGACCAGGGCAAGGCATTCCCTCCCCCCTCCCCAGATGCAAACACATGCTGAAATCAGAGAGATGTGTTCTTCCACTGGCTGACCTTGTTGGCTATATTATACAGAGCTCTCTATGAACATTCTTCTCTTTCTAAAACTTGGTGCTTTAGACCTTAGGACTAGCCAAGCACACTAGGACAGAACCTGGATGAAAGGTGTGAAACTGGGCTTGGAATATTAAGGTTGCCCAATAAAAAGCAGGTGGGTATTTCCCTCCCCCCAAAAAGAATTCCCACTGAATCCTCCTGCATTCCTCCCCCCAGCACCCAGTTTCTGGAATCCTAGTCAACACTAGCTATAGGAAATCAATGAAGGAATCTGAGAGACTTTCCTGTGCTTTCAGAAGAAAACCAGCTTTCCAGACCTAAACTGTGTTTTTTGAATCAGACTGAAGTAACTGGATATTGACACAGACAGGAACTGAAAGTCAGACAAACTCAGTCAACACGCAACTCAAAGTTTTCACAGGCATTGTAAGCATGATGAAAAGCATCAGATTCTTTCATGTTGCACAAGCAACATCTGGGGTTGCTAATTCAGGGTAAGTACACATAGAAAGGCTTACAAATTACCAACAAAGGCCTGGACCAATGCTCTCTCTAAGCTGTGGAGTCTTGTGAGCAGAAATTCTACTTTGTGAGCTACTGGCATTAAAGTTGTGAGCAAGCAATTTGGCTACTGCATAAATTAGTTTGCTCTGGAGCCATCCTTCCTGAGCTAAGACAAAAATGTGTGACCCCAAGGCTAAGAAACTGTGAGCTAGCTCACACTAACTCAGCTTAGAGGAAACATTGGCCTGGACCTGTTATCAAAAAAGGAGGAAAAAGTTCAGAAAGGCCACGTGAAAGTCACTTGATTAGGAGCAATTGCAGCAGAAGCAGCATCTGAACAAAGCAACCAATTAAAGACTTTGCTTTGTAAGAACTATTAAACACCAGTCAGGATTTCTATATGAAAGCAAAATGCGTGTATGTGTTCATGGTAGAGGTTGTTATGAACTTCTTTGATCTTTTTCAGAGTGAGAGTTTCCAGTGTACTGTTGCAGTGTGCCTTGGTTAGCTTTTCCTAAAGCGGAACATTTCTTTTCTATGGAAAAATAATTCTATTGTTATTTTTTTAAAGCAATTAAACAAGCTTGCTTGGCATATTAAAAAAAACCCAGTAAATGATATTTTACATAGTGGAAGCTAAGCAACTCAAGCAGCTGAAAACTGAAATTTCCTGATAACCTTTAAATTGTACAAGAAGCAAATCAGACATCCACAAGAACAATATACTAGTGACTGGAAAACTTAAAATGTACTCTTAGTGTTCAAGTTAGAGGTAACTGCAATTTTCTGAAAAGATTTACTTGGAATTAATTCAGAAGTGGGGGAAAAAAATCCATTCTTACCTTAATAGTCAGCAGTGAAGAAAGTAAAACAAGTGCTTCTGTTCCTCAGGGGGTTAAAACTCAAATGCAAGAACTACTTCAGGCACTCAGACCTGCCTATTTAAACTTTAAAAGTCTCCTGCTCTTTTGTTTTCGTGTGTCTTTCCTTCCTCCTTTCCTGAAAGAAAAGTGCTGAGAACTTGTTAAAAAAAAGACACCCTCTTTTTTTCTAACTTGAAGCGATGTGAGAGCTTTTAAAAAGTTTTCAAGCCACTCACTGTGAGGGAGGAGGGGAGAAGGAGGAGTGAGAGGAGGGGCTGCCAAGGAGTGGGGAGGAGGGAAGACAGAGGATACCGAAGAAGCAGACGGTATGGAAAAAGGAGAAAGGCAGAGCGAGTACTGAGACTCAAAGTGGTTGATGTAAGCACATAACTTTCAAAAAGCTGGGGGTTACATGAAAGAATCCTGAATGGGAATTTTCCCAAAGACGTCTTGCCGTAGGAAAGTGACACATTCATTTACTGTGGTTTGTCAGTCTCATTAAGTTACCATGGGCTGGTGATGAGCCGATGTTGATTTAACCAGATGCTGGCTGCAAAAGTTTATACCAAAGAGCCATCTGGGGATCCTCACCAGAAGCAGTGCCCCCAGACACTGGGTCTCTGTATGGTTTAAGGTGTTTCACTCTGAAGAGGGGACAAAAGTTTGCAGTCAGACGCAGCAAGGTACAAAACTATGTGGAAGGAAACATTCCTCACGTGTGTAGGTGGAGATAATAGATTTTGAGCCTTCCTTGTCTGTTATTTTGTGCGGTCATACACATCTGCTAGGTTTCACCGTGAACTTTGCACAATTGCACAATTCTCGTTACATTTTCAAAGTGGCTTTTCTAAATCTTCTGGGGGCAGCAAACAAACAAACTTGCTTTGCAGCCAGTGAGAAAACAAACACCCGCCTTCCTTTTGGAAGTCACTTTGGGATGGGATAGCCAACTGCTGTTATAAACACAAGGTTTCTCACGTAATTCAGCAGCAGTTTTAAGTGTGAGCAGCCTCATCGGAAGTACTGAAAGTCTTGTGAGCTAATACTAAGCACACCTAACATGTTGAAAGGTACAGGACAGGGTGGACAGTCCTCAAGAGGAAAATATATCTTATATGTAAGGGGAACCTATTTCCTTGTTCTGCAATCAGCAAATTGGTGAATTTAAAAATTGCCTCTTCATCTTATGGTCTGCTTTCAAAATTGATGCTGACAGGTTTATAAATGAATACTTTAGAAAATAGATCCAATTGGACTCTAAATTTGTTGTACTTTAGGAAATGATGGTTATAGGCCTCAAATACACCTTAGTTTCTGCTTCCTTAACCACTTATTGGTCATTTGGTCTTTTCTCATTCACATCACTCAAAGTGCATTTTCTGCCATTGTCACTGCAGCTTATGAGAGGGATATATTGCATCAGTCTAACAATGAAGAATGGCAAGTGCAAGTATTGCATTCCTGTTATAGCAAGAAGAAAGCATCCCATTCCCTTGCAGAGTGACTTCTGCCACAGCTGACATTGAAACAAATATTCAAAGTCTGGCAACACTGAAATGCAAAATTAGAATTTGAGCTCTGGGTACAAAACTTTACCTTACATTTTGAAATTCAGGTGTCTTGCTGGCAACTGTTAATTGTTTTAATTTTTAAAGTGGTTAAAATGAAATTGTGTAAGATATCAAGTGTTATATACCATCAAATATTACATACTATTCCTTGTTCTCTGTTAAATACTAGATATTACTTCACAGCAGCTGTCAAACTGTCAGGCACTAAAGCTATTAAATGTAGTCAAACACAAAACATTAAGTGAAAATCCAAAGAAAATATTCCCTATCAAGATTTGCAAAGGAGAATTCTGGGAAGATTTACGGATGCAAATTGATTTAAGCTCTAATGGCAGCAATTAGGGTTGTGTGTGTGTGCGTGCGTGTTTGTGTGAAGGGTCTGCAGGAACACCAATGTTGCATTCCACCTCAGAACAAAACACAAAGCAGATCTTTCTTATTTCTGAGGGTTAGAAAACACAAACATTCTACTTGTTCTGTACAGAACCTGAGCCAATCCCTTGTAAATCTTTATAGAATAATTCCTTCTTAGAAACCCATTCAGAAAAACCTGTGGCAGTGCCAAACTACCTGTTACACTGTAGATACTCAGTTGTCCCCTTGCCAGCCACTTATTTTGGATTTAAATGTGAGGCTGGCAAGGTTCCTCATGTGACCCCAAGCCCAGTAGTCCCATTTCAGTCCATGCAAAAGAGCTTCACATGCTTAGTTCTGTAGCTAGGGATCTGTAACCCTTGTAAGTATCATGCTGGTATGCTAACTAAGCTCATATAATTACTTTGCACTGGTTGAGCATCATTCAGATTAAATGCTGAGCCCTCGCAGTGCAACACGGGTAGTTTGAGCCATAGTCAGAGGCCCTGGTATGGCTTGTGTGTTATGTGTGAAGTGCTGTCAAGTTGCAGCCGCTTTATGGCACCCCCATAGGGTTTTCAAGGCAAGTGATTAAGCAGAGGTGGTTTACCATTGCCTGCCTCTGCATTTGTTCTTGTTGTTGTTCAGTTGCACAGTCAAGTCTGACTCTTTGCAGCTCCATGGACCACATCACGCCAGGCCCTGCTGTCTTCCGTTGTGCTCCGGAGTTTGCTTAATTTCATGTTAGATGCATCGATAACACTGTCTAACCATCTCATCCTTTGCCATCCCCTTCTTCTTTTTCTTTCTATCTTTCCCAGCATCAGGGTCTTCTCCAGTGAGGGCTCCCTTCTCATTTGGTGGCCAAAGTATTTGAGCTTCAGCTTAGGTATCTGGCCTTCCAGGGAACAGTCAGGATTAATTTCTTTTAGGATTGACTGATTTGATCTCTTTGCAGTCCAAGGGACTCTCAAGAGGAACACCTCCAGCACCATAATTCAATAGAATCCTCTGCATAGTGACCCTAAAATTCCTCGATGGTCTCCCATTCAAACACTGGGTTGACCCAGCTTAGCTTTTGAGATCTGACAAGATCGGGCTAGCCTGGGCCATCCAGGTCAGGGTGATATGGCTTAGACTAATCTAATCTTACCTTAGGATAGAGCCTCTTTACACTTACTTGAGCCATGTTGAGCTGCTTTGTACCCTGCACTCCTTTAAGCACTGGGCAACCCCTTGAAAGGCATAACAGATATTCTAGTGGCTCTCAGTGTTTGGACAGCTCCCCAAGACAATTGTTCAGTGAGGTTTCTATATTTTGACAGCTGAGAATTCTTGCTCTACTGCTGGGTTTTAGAAGGCTCATTAAAGACCGTAACCCTGACGGTGCTCATTCAAGATGAACAACCTCTTGTACTTTTACGAGGCAGCAATCCACACATGGAGGCAGTAATATGACTTACCTTTCTGGTTTTACTTTCAGAGGTAACAGTGAATGCCAATGAAGGCTGTCCCACACTATTTAATATAAAGTCAAAATTTATGTCTTATTAGACATCCTTTTTTTTTTAAGCTGATGAATTTCAAAGCATGTTCAAAGTTGAAGGCACGCTTCATCACATGCTGAATTTCTAACTTGCCATTGCTTGGTGGATCAAAAAATCTACAAGATGAAGCAACCTGGCATGGGGTAGAAGTTTCAGGGAGATCTGAAAAGTTTTAATTAAATTTCAGAGCTAATCCTCTCTCCCCAAGTAACAAGGGATATCTGCACGCATACAGATATCTGCAAATATGCAGATGTTATGCAAAATCCTGGCCAATATCTTGGCCTAGCAACCCAAGATTCCTACAAAGAAGTATTATAAAAAATAGAGGTTGGTACCAAGTAGTGAGTGGAGACAAGTGGGTGGGGTTGGAAAGAAGTATAACATGGGCAGTTGTGTGGGTGAGCAATGGGGATTGGATCTTCCATGGTGGATGAGACTGAAAATGTGCAACGTTCGTCTCTAAGTGACCCCTGATCATCTGGCTGGTGATGGCTAGGGAGAAGGTTTGGAGCTAAAATCCTGCACTGTGTACACTTTCAGGCCCAAGCCACCCCAAGACAGCTACCTAGAGGGTCTTTGGCAGTGACTTGGGGCTTCAAGCATGGCCCCAAGCCACTGTTAATCACCTGCCTGGCAGCCTGTATAGCCTGGGGCTAGAAAGGGAGAAGGAGATGGGATTCCCCCCCCCCCCCACAGTTCTTTTGAACACTAAAGTGGTGGCTCACTATTATGAACAGTGGTTCATCAGGGCTAGCCTCTGGGATATTATAGGTTACCATCTAAAGGAGGGGCCCCATAACACCATTAAGTAGATTCTAAACTTAAAGTCGCGAAGAGTCGGACTCGACTGTGTGACTGAAAAACAACAACAGAAAACTTGTCTAACTGCACCACTGCTAATGAAAGCAGGAGACCTAGGCCACCTGCAGACAAGGCTTGTTGTTTGGGGAGTTAAATCTGTTAATTAAAGAAAATACTACCCTCCGCAACAGCTTGAGGAGGACCGAAAATGCTGCAGAATGATGGGATATTGACAGCACAGAGCAGCTGAGTATCAGTTAATGGTGAGTGGGCACTGGCCTGCTCTAGCCCCTGAGAATTTAGAGAATCCTGGAGACAGAGATCTTGAGGAATGGTTTGGGATTTCCACCTCCCCCTTCTGTGGGTTCCTCTGCATCAATAAAGAGATCAGCAAACTAAAAGGAATAAGAACATCTTTCTTCACAGAGTACACCACTAGCAGCAGCAGGGAATGTCTGCTTCCAGTTCTGTATTCTACCCATCCTACTGCTGCTCCATGTTTAAAGCACTAAGAAAGGAGTTAGTGTCATCAACTTTAAAATATACTCTCAAGGTGGGTTCTAGCCTCTACTATATTATTCAGTCATAAATTTAATATTGCCACCTGTAAATCTAAAGGTGATGAAACTGCATCTTACATCCCGAAGGATTACTATGATGTTAGACGAGTGTAGAAAGACTGGAACCTGTATGTCCCTCCAATCTGATAGTGATGTAATCAGTGTTGTATCACTGTTGTATATCTAATACTATG